ATTGTTAAAGCATTAAGTCTACTTAGTTTTTGTATTTACAAAAAAATGTTTGTTCAGAACCTTGCTGTGGGGATATATAATTTTCAGAGGCCTGTATTCTGCTAACAGAGTACAGATGGGTTAATTTAGATTAATTCTGTGGGTTTTGTGGTTTGGATTTAGTCACTGTTTTCCAGGATTAGAAACAATTGCGGGGGGGAAGATCTTACTTTTAAGCTTTTTAAAAGAGCTGGTTTTTGTACAAAAGGGAATTATGGTGGAAAAAACTTGTTGAAGATATGGAAATGTCTTGTTTGCAACGAGCTTTTAGTCAATTTACTTTGTTGATAGTCGGATACGAACGATTGCATATGTTTGCACTTGGTGGGCTTGTATCACTCTTCACTGAAGACTGATTTAATTGCACCTTTCTTTTACCACACCCTTTGGTAATTTTAGTGTGACTTTTACATTATCATGCTGTCTTCCAGTAGGCACAACTGTCACAAGAGGGGGTTTGTGTGACTCTTGTTAGTGTAGTACCAGGACACTTTATTTTTATTTTTATTTTTATTTTATTTTTATTTTATTTTATTTTATTTTATTTTATGGGTTCGTTATGACAGTACCCATGTTCTATATCACTTTTACGGAAAACTAAGATTAGTCTTCAAAAAAGGTTATTTATTATGGAAGAGCAACTCTTCTATAGGGAGAAGATGCGGAATGTTTCAGCTTCAGCTTCTGTGCCATTGATCCTCCTTCCTGTTTCTTGCTATAGATTACTTAAAGAAAAAAATCTACTATGGACAAAGTAGAAGTTCTTTAGAAGGAATTTCATAATACATTTTTTGACTTTGTAAGTAATCAGTACTTTTCACAAAGTATTGATAGAAATATGTAAATTTATATTTGGTAATTCTTACTATAAGGCATGTTCTTCCACCATGTTTCATAGCTGGTAATGGGGAATTCTTTCCAACTTGCTAGTTGAAATAACTAGCCCTGCACTAATTACTTAGGCTTATTGTAGTCTCCCTGTTCAGATTAGCCATGGTCATTGTGAGGATCGAGAAAGTTATTTTTAACAAGACAGTGTGAAAAAGATTAAAAAGAGATGATAACTTATTTTCAGAAAATGTTATCTCTAAAATCGAGCTTCACATGGATTAGCAGAAACGTTTGCTCTTTGAGTGACTGGTATTGGTTTGATATGGAAAGCTTCTCTGTTGCTGAGATGGGAAAATACTAATTTGCATGAAATTTTGTTAATTCTTAAAACATAATGAAAGTTCTGTAAAACAAAGTACTTGAAACAGTTGTAAAATAAGAAATATTTGAGAATTTTGTTCGGATGTCCGTTTTTTGCGTCATGTGTACTTTGAAACTTAAAATGCTGTTAAAATAGATACTTGGATATGGTATTCAAAAAAGCTGGACTATAATACTTGAACGTTATAGAAATTCCGTTGTTGTCTCATTTCTTAATTCCTGTGGTGACCTGTCTTTCACTTGCTATCTCTCCTCTCTTCTCCCTGTCTAAAAAAAAAATAACACACACTTTAAATGGTCAGCCAGAGTCAATCAGATTTTGTCGGCCTGGATCTCAAGAATAATTTTCTCAAATGATTCATGAAAAAAGTGTTAAAATAGAAAAGATAGGCCAGGGTATCACCTCATTCAGAGAAAAGCGGAAGCATAAACTCAGTCCTTACGAGGGGCTGAGGATCTAAACCATGTGTCAAGTAAATTTTGATTGAAGTGACTCAGTATCCAGAGGCCCTTTGCTTTGCTGTATCATTGAATCAGAGTTGTTTGATTTGGAAGAAACCTTTAAAGGTCATCTAGTCCAACCCCTGCTACTGTGGGAAGGGACATCATTCACTAGATCAGATTGCTCAAAGCCCTGTCCAGGGGCTCAAAGCTCAAGGTCCAGGCTGACCTTGAATGCTTCAAATAGGTGATCTTGAACCCTGGGCAAGCTGTTCCCGTGTCTCACCACTCTCACTGTAAAAAATGTCTTCTTGACATCCAATCTAAATCTACAATCTTTCAGTTTAAATCCGTGCCCCTTTGTCATGTCACTACAGGCACCCATCTGTCTTAAATGTCCCAAGTACTAAAAGAACTCAGTAAGGTCCCCCCAGAGTCTTTTCTTCTCCAGGCTGAACAATCCCAACTCTTTCAGCCTGTCTTCATGTGAGAGGTATTCCATCTCTCTCGTGATTTTTGTGACCCTCCTCTGGATCTGCTCCAACAGGATTCTTGTACTGGGGACCCCAGATCTGAACACAGTGCTGCGGGTGAAGTTTCGTGAGAGCAGAGTAGAGGGGGAGAATCTCCTCCCTTGACCTGATGGCCACTCTTCTTTCGCTGCAGACCAGGAGGTGGTTGGTTTTCTGGGCTGCAAACTCTGGCTCATGTCCAGTTTTTTAATCCCTCAGTATCCCCAAGTCCTTCTCTGCAGGGCTGCTCTTAATCCATTCATCCCCCAATCTGAGTTGATACTGGGAATTATCCTGACACAGGTACAGGACCTTGCACTTGGCCTTTTTGAACTTAATGAGATTCATAGGGGCTGACTCCTTAAGCCTGTGAAGATCACTTTGGATGGCATCTCTGTGGGTGCACTTGACTCCACTGTCTGTGTCATTGATGAAGACAGTAAATAGTATTGGTCCCAGTATGGACCTTAGAAGGGTTACTGGCTTCCACTTGGACATTCAGCCATTGACTGTAACTCTTTGGGCATGACCATCCAGCCAATTCCTTAATCTAATAGTACATCCATCAAATCTATCTCTCTCCAACTTAGTAGCAAGGATGTTGTGTAGGACAGAAGTCTGGGTAGGTGATATCTGTATCTCTTGCATTCTCCACTGATGCAGTTGATTTTGATTGAAGTAACTCAATTTCCAGAAGCCAATTGCTTTGCTATATTGGATACTCAGAACCTTGAGTGAAAAAAAGTTCCCTCCATCTGTCCTCTCTTGACTGTTTTTGATGGTGTCTTTGCTGTCCCTCTCCACTCTCTCTATTTTGTAAAAGAAAAGAATATGGATAAATGGGAGACCTGCTGAATTAGAATAAATTTCTCACTTGGTCACTTTCTCGCATTATTTTCCCCTGACTTTCCTCCTTGTCCTCCCTTTCATAATTCTCCTTCCCAGTGGAACTTGCTGTTGATTGTTGTTGATTTCCTTAACATTCAGGAAACTACACTTCCAGTAGTTCTACTCCATATCTCAAAAATTCAAGACTCAGTTTTCCCAGTCTTAGAAACACGGAGTTTGGGAGGCTGACTGGGGCTGTATCATGGACTTAAGGAGAGTGTTCATGATGTGTTGTGCTTGAGTGGGATGTTGTTCTTCAACTGTTAAGAGGATATGGACTGCTTAAGAGCTTGGACTTGTGGCTCTTGGTTTGGAGTATCTGGGTCACTATACTAGATTTTTCTCTTAGTTTTTCTTCTTCAATTAGGTGATGAAGCTGTAACCTTCAGGTCCTTTGCAGGATACTTCTACCTGATGTTATTTGTGCTTGCTTACAACATTCTGCCAAATGCGATCATATTCCTAACCAAGATTGAATGCTCTTAGCGTTACCTGCTTTCTCAGAATGAGCGTTGCCATCAGAGAAGTAAAGCAACTTCAGTGTAGCAAAGGATTTTGTCAACTCTGTACTGATCTTTTTGGTGATGTTGCAATTGTGACTCAGTAAAGATCTGGAATGTACAGTTGTACCTGGGTGGTGATGCAAAGCAAGCTCCTAAAATCTGCAGTCTTCTGTTGTGTGGAGATAGGTATCAACTGTAAGGTCAGCTTTCAGTCTTGCTTGGCCACAGAGCTCATGCTGCCCACATTTAGATAGTTTTAGTAGGTGACGTCTGGTTTTGAGTGTGCTGGTCAGCTTTCAGTGGAGTTGAAACAGATCAGCAGGCTTTGCTTAGATCTTTTAGTCTTTGCTTCCGTTTGGGGAAGGGGTATTTTCTGCTAGGATTTGAGTTTTGTTTTCTCTTACTGAGAAGCTGGAGAGGAGAGAGAAGGCCTACACAAATGCCAGATTGGCATGTGATTGAGTGCCGGACCAGTCAAAAAATGCCTTTTTTGAACTGTCTGCTTCTGGGTTAGAGAGCAGAATGCTCATGTGTGTGGTGCTTGCACTTTCTGCCTCTTACTTATTGAGATTGATTTGGGATTGTGGGTGATGTAAGTCTATTTTGGGATATGGTTTAGGGTGTAAGCTGTCAGGTAAGACTAGTGTATGCTTTCTGTAAAGAGGGTTAAATGTTAATTCTGGCACTGTTAAACAATGTTCAGCTTGAATTTTTTTAGTCATTCCAGAGATTTATATTTTTATGAGGACAGATTTTGGATGATAAAATGCCTTGTCGTCCAGAGGCAAGGCTAATACTGAAAGAAAAAAAAAAGAAAATACCCCCCCAAAAAAAAACCCCACACCCCCCAACCCAAGCCTTAAGATAGCAACTGTTTAATGGTAGGATTTATGAAACTCCTGGCCAGATGAATTTCATAAATTCAGTGTTTAATAAGCAAGACACTTTTTTTTTTCTATTCCAGAAATAGAAATCACGGCAAAACAGTAGGATTACATTGTCTTCTAGTGATGCAAAATATACAGTCAGTCTTTATGCAAGCTAACATAGGTTGTTGTTATTTGTTTAAACAAAGTGTTTTTTTTTTCAGCTGATGCTGAAAGTAATAAAATCTTAATGTTCCCTTAGAGCTAGGTCAGACATACATTTCAATCAATGGATTCATTGTGAAGTCTTTGAAAGCGTCTCGCTTCCTGCATTAACAAGTACCTTTTCTAAAAGTCACCTTTAAACTTCGAATAATTCCTATTACTCTTCAAAATGACACTGAATAGGTGTACTATATATTTGGAGTAAGCAGTATGTAAATGACTGCTTTCTACATTGGGTGGGTTTTTTTCACTGTTTAATATTATCATGTATGGATACATATTATCACAACTTAATCATTTTTTCCTCTTTATAGGTCCTGCTGGGGACTTGCATCTGGCCTCAATGTGAAATTAAGGTAGAAAAACACATCTACATATGTGTTTGCTATTAGGATTTAGTTTATTCACTGGTCATGCCTGAAGAGTGATGTTCGTCTCTAGACGGCTAACTGACAGGAAATATAAATGATTGTCCTAGAAGTCAAGCCTCTCTCCTATTTACTGGAGTGAAAATCACCTCCAGATACCGACGGAATATCAACTACAGAAAATGCTTCACGTTATAAGGATGCCAACCACCTAGATTCATGCGCCCTATCTGTACAGTTGTTGTGGATGGTTTGCCATCTGAAAGCTCCTCAAGCTCTTATCCAGGCCCTGTATCTGTTTCTGAAATGTCTCTGCTACATGCTTTGGGTCCAGTGCAGACCTGGCTGGGACAAGAGCTAGAGAAGTGTGGCATTGATGCCATGATTTATACTCGGTATGTCCTCAGTCTTCTGCTGCATGATAGCTATGACTACGACCTGCAGGAACAGGTATTTACATATTTTAGATGTTGTCCAGTGAAAGTGAGTTTTTGTATCAGTTATGTTTTGTGTATTACACAGGGGTGTGGCTGAAAGTGGGGGGGGTGGTTGTTCCTTCTATGTGTGGGTGGAAGGGGGTTATAAATGCTGTGGGAATCAAATCTGATGGGTCAAATGAGATTAATGTAGTTAGTTTGCTGTATGAGTAATTACATTAAACAGAATTTTCACATTGTTACAATTGATATCAAAATTAACAACACTGGAATGTTATGTATCATAAATGCAGACGCTCAGTATTTGTGATTATAAGGTTAATTTAATATTAGTAAACTAATGTGATTCTTGCAAACCATGTGTCAAACTGGCCTGCTTCAGAGTAGTTTGTAGACTCCTCATCACTTCTTGTGGATTTCATCTTGTGCTATTTTCAGTAAAGAATTAAAAAAAGGGGAGTTTTAGTACTAAAGTATTTAAAATACATAATTGCACATAAATTATTCGTCTCTTCTAAAAAATGTTAATGGTGAATTTTGATAAAAGGCATGCAAAAAAGTTGTCAAAGAGTTACTTTCCATGGCTGTAATTCAGAAAGGGCAAGGGAGGAGAAGTGAAGCTGTGTATCAGATAGGCACAACCCTATTAATGTTTCCATGTACTTTTATTGCTATGGATTTTGTAAGTCTCTAGAACATACTTTTTAGTCCTCATTTGACCTCTTTTTTTAATTTTAATGTCTCTATATCATCAACTTGTATCAAAGTACTTTTAATAGTGGAATTTTCTGGCTATAGGACTTGGGGAAGTTCTGGTGTTTTCAAGAAGGGACGAGTTTCTGTTGATCATAGACTTTGTCTTATAAGGTGAATGTGGTTACAGTGGGAAGGGAGTAAGGAAAGCAAATACCTCTTACTTCCTGGCTTAATTATTAGTTCATTTTCTGTTGCTGCTGTTTTGGTTGTACTTGATACACTGCTACCTAACTGCTTCAGAGCTTTCATTGTTTTCTAGTTTACCTTTTTAAAAATCCAGCAAGAGCAGGGCAGGGTATTGTGGAATAGATGTAAGATGTAGCTGAAGCAGAAAAAAATTGATGTCAGTTGCTGCCAGTTTCTGAACTCTTAGCAACTATTACTGTGCATAAAAGCTTTCACGCTTCCATTGTGCAAAACAGAAAACTTCATGTGCAAAAGTAATTTTTGTTATCTGGCAGTGGTGGAAGTCACCAGGAACAACCTCATGATTAATAATGGTAATGACAATTAAAAAAAAACAAACCACGAAACACTCTAACCACCTTTTAGAATGTAGTTTAATAGTGAACTTATTTAGATCTTGTTCAGATATGAACAGCTGTATTTTGGAAGGGGATAGAGGAAAGTTCCAAAACCTGTTTGAAAGGAGGGTGTGGGATGAGGTCAGAAAGAAGAAACCAAGTGAAACCACACCAGAATTTGAGGAGCTTTATAGGTAGCCCCTATGGTCTTGGGGGAAAAATGAAGATTTGTTTCTTTTTAGTCCGTTTTAGCACATAGTCATAACTGTGTGAACTCACTACTGTGGTAATTTGAAATTACTGATGTGCCAAATTTAGTTGTTTTTTTTTAATCAGGCTTTTGAAGAAGCAGGGTAACTACATTACAAAAACCTCGTAGTTTATTTTTCATTTTGATACCTTAACTGAGTGCTTTATGAGTTGATAGTGGAGCTTTAAGGAATATGTCTGTTCTTGTCCCAGGTTGATTAGCTGAACCTAACGAGCCAAAGAGAGAAGAATACCACATGCTGACAGAGTAGCCAAAACCTATGTTGCTGAGCGGTTGCTGTAGTACGGGATGTCTTTGGAATGACATTGAGATTTGAAGAAGCTGAAAGTTTCTTTTTTTCACCTTCTTCAGCTTGATCCTTCTTGTAACATACTTCTGTTGCATTTGTTCCTTCTACTTCAAATAACTGTTTTCTAAGTTTTGAGACTTAATATCAATTTAATTTGGGGATTATATTCTGTAATAATGGATGGGTACATGTGTTGTGCAACATACTGCTACCTGAATTGTTTCTCAAATAGCTTAGTCGTTAAGGATTGTAAATACAGATTTCTTATATGGAGCATTTGGGAAATCTTAAAACACATGTGCTTATTTATTTAGTTAGTTTTGGGTTTATTTTTATTTTACCTATTGCCTACTGGTTATTTGTATGACCTTGCATTTGAAAATTAATTTTTTTTTATTGAGTCATTCAGAAACAAAACCTGCGTCCTAAAGCATGTGTTTGCATATATTGTATATAAGCAGCTTCAAGCCAATTTTGGTGCTGGGTATAACATTAACACAAAGAGTAAAAACAAATACTAGTCGTGTTTACAAACAGAAATTAGGCAAGAGTGCAGCAATTAAACATCTACAAGAGAAATAATTTAGGAGTAAAATAGTGAGAGTTTCTGAGCTCCTTTAATTCAGACTAATTCCTACGGAAGAGTTGGTTCTTGGCATCTCGGGAGGTTTTTCTTCTATAGAATTCCTTTGAGTCTTGAGAAAGATGACAGAAGTTCTAGGGAAGAGCTGTTCTCAGTAGTGAGTTTATTGCAATGATTTCTCCCCAACTTAGAGGACAGGTATGAAGGCGACAACAGCTCTCTCTTCACTAGGAGACACATGATGAAGACAAGGCACAAGGGATACAACTTTTGCTGGATGAAGTTTCATCTTGATATGAGACAGAATTTTTTGTTTCTTTGTTTGTATTGAGAATCATTCACTGTAGTGACCTCCTTGGGAAAGTGGTAGGGTCCCCATTGCTGGAGGTTTTCAAGGTGCAGTAGGACATGGTGCTAGATAAAATTATCTACACTCCCTTTCTCCTGAAAGGGTGGACCGGATGGTCTTTCAAGGTCCCTTCCAAACTGGGCTCTTCTGTGATTTCTTGGCATCTAGAATTTGGTTTCTGTGAGGAGTGATTAGCCATCTCTTCTTCCCATAACCAGAACGATTACTTCTGTTCTGAACAGGCTAGCCGGACTCTCTGGAATCTGATCACCCAGAACGGAGTTACACATCCGAACAGTCCATTGCAGTGTGCTTTTTGAGGGCATAGTGGTGGTGAAGAGGGTGAACTTAGGAAGTCTTAATCTTATGGATAGTGTATAAATTGTGTTCATTAGAAATGTTGCAAACTGACGTTAAGATGGTCATTAAGATCTTTCTACCTCAGAATGCTGATGACATCACTAGCACTGTTTTAGTCGCTGCTTTCTTTTTAGTGTTCTGGTGTCATCAACTGTAGCAGGGAAATGGAACTCTGAAGTCCTGGACTGAGGTTCCATCAGGTAACTACAGAAAGATTGAAAAAAAAAAAAGGAATGAAGAAACATCCCCAACATTAGTCGACGTACCCAGCTATTTAAGGTAGTGTTATTGTGTTATAAGTATTGTGTTTGCATTTAAAGTAAGTATTTCAAAAGAATATGGGAGTCTTGATTGGCTAGGTCTTTAGGGTTAATTTTGAGAATAAGCAGGATGTTCCCCTCTGGTTTGTTAGTAATACATAATATGCAGTCTCTCGTTTTGATTCTGCTGCAGACTTCTGTGACTTTGGTCGTTTGACCAAATATTGTCCATCTGTGTATGGTGAGGTGGTTTGATATGTGAATAGAAGATAAAATATGTTTGGTGTGGAGTTGTTTGGTGTTTTCTTCTTTGTTTTGTTTCTGTTTGGTTTGGTTTTATTGTGCATGAGTGTGTTTTTTTGGGGAGTCTTTGTGTTTTCTTTGTTTTTATTATTACTGTTAATTCCATGCCTTGTCCAGTTAGAGTAGTCTCTGTTGGGCATCATTATGTGGGTGCAGGCTCGATATTGCAGAATCGTGGATTGGTAAGTCATGAGTTTTCAGAGAGTTCATAGGGACTTTTTGCAAGTATTTGTGTGAGGAGCTGTGGAGGGAGGCACAGTACAGAAAACGTAGGTAAAAGTAAATGCCTAGTACACTTTTTTTTTACTGCAAAGATTTTGGTGGGTTTTTTTTCTGACTCATTGGCTTAAACTGAAGTATCTATTAAAATATTGTGAAAATTGATAAGCAGGTGTGTTTTTCCCAGCTGTGTTTTAGAGTACAAGAGAGTTTTCAAGAATGGAATCATGTTGATGATAAATTGCATTGCGGTGCTGAGATCTTATATTGCTGCTCTGGCTATACATATGTTATCATACCTATCAAGAATTACTGTAATACCTCTTAAATATACACAATTTAAATGTTTTTTGGGTTTTTTTAAAAATACTCAAGTACTGAAGTTAACTTATTGTTGGCATTTATTCTTACTCAAGCTATACTTCCTACTTTTGGAAATAAGTCTAAAAGCTTAAGATGTAAAAGTTCTTAAGCAGCCCTTCGTTCTCAGTGAGTGTACGTTTTTCTTTTTTTCTTATTTTCCTCTCCCGCATCTATCTTTTGCAGCAATGATATTACTGGTGAGAGAGTTAAGAGGGCGAAGGAGAGAATGCAAAGACAATATGAATTGCATTTGCGCATTTTCCTTGATTACTGTGACACAGGAGGATGTTCGTAGAAATAGTTTCTTTTTTTTTGTGGCTAGTTAGTTTAGGTCTGTCATACTAGAAAAATAAGGACCTCAGTAGTAGATTTTTCTTTTTATTTTTCCCAGAAACAAAGATGTTCCTTGATCATAAACTTTCTAGAGAGCATGGTTCTCAAATTGATTTACATATAAATTAAGTGTCTGCATGGTCAGAATTACTAAAAGAATCTTTTGAACCATGTTATATCACATACTATATTTATTATTTAGGTGTTAGGGGCTTTTTGTTTGTTTTGTTTTTTTGAGATTTGAGACCTATCAGTGGCCTCTGTTCAGAATGTTTGGAACCCACTGATATTTTGTTCTGATGTAGATGATCTTTCAGATGCTTTTGATCTGTTCAGGAAAACCTCATAAAATTGGTATGGATTTGAAGACTGTTGGTAACTAAAGTGCAGAATATTCTGCTAA